TTTGAAAGACTAAACGTAACAGAATAAACCCCGAGCTAATAGAAAAGACCCAAATCAATGCAAATAGAAATGAAAAAGGTGAAATCAGAACAGATACTGCCAAAATAAAAAAAGTGACATATAATTTGCAAAGCTGTATTCTAACACATTTCAGACTTTAGAAGAAATGGATAGATTCTTAGATATGTGTGAATTACCAACATTGAACCAAGAAGTTTTAAAAACTCCAAATAATCCAAAATCAGCCAATGAAATCAAAACAATAATAACCTACCAACTAAGAAAAGCCAAAGTCTAGAAAGGTTCACAGCTGAGTTCTAGAAAACTTTAGAGCATTTTAACACCAATACTCCTCAAGCTTCTTAATGGAATTGGAAGAGAAGGAGTACATCTGTAGTCATTCTGGGAAGTTACCATTATCCTGATTCCAAAACTACAAGGATCCAGTCAAAAAAGAGAACTATAGACCAATTTCTTTAATGAATATAGATGTCAAAATCTGCAATGAGATACTGGCAAAAAGAATGCAACACATCACTAAAAAAATCATACATTGTGACAAAGTAGGCTTCATCCCAGGGATGCATGGATGGTTCAACATAAGCAAATCAATAAATATAATACATCACATAAATAGAAGAACAAAAATTGTACGATCATCTCCACTGATGCAGAAAAAAATTTGACAAAATTTATATCCTGGGCTGGGGATATAGCTCAGCAGCACAAGAGTCTACCTGGCAAGTGCAAAGTCCTGAGTTCAATTCCCAGTACCAAAAAAAAATCTAATATCCTTTCATGATAAACACATTGTTATAGTTATAGAAGGACCTTATCTCAGACTCAAAAGCAGTTACGACAAACCTACTTCCAACATCACATTATTATTATTTTGAGACAGGGTTTCATTATGCAGTTCAGGTTGGCCTTGCTAACAGTGATCTTTCTGCCTCAGCCTCCTGAGTGCTAGGATTACAGGCATGTGCTACCAGGCTCAGGTTGTCAAAATCATATTAAATGGGGAAAAACTAAAAGTTTTTTCTCTAATATTAGGAAGAAGACAAGGATGTTCTCTATTACCACTCCTATTTAACATACCATTGTATTTGAAAATTAGCAAGAGTACTTAGGCAAGAAAAATAAAGAGAAATGATGACCAAATTATCATTTACAGATGACAAGACCCTCTATAGAGAAGATTCCCCAAAAGTCCAACAAAAGTCTCTTGGAAATAACCAAATTCAGTAACATAGCAGGATAAAAAAATTGATACATAAAAATTAACAGTGTTCCTATTCATTAGTTATAAACCCATTGATAAAGAAATGAAGGAAAAATACCACTCACTGCAGCACTGAGAAAAATTAAATTCTGAGGGATTAACTTAATTAAGGAAGTAAAAGAACTCTACCTCAAAAACTACAATACTCTTTAAAAAGAACTGAAGATGAGATCAGAAAATGTAAAGATATAACCTGTTCCTGGATAGTCAGAACCAATATGGTCAAAATGGCCATACTTCAAAATTGATATACAGATTCATCACAGTCCCAATCAAAATCCTGACAGCATTCTTCATAGAACTGGAGAAAACAACCCTTAAATTCATATGAAGCCAGAGGAAAGTTAGAATAACAAAAGCAATCCTGGGTAAAAAAGTAAAGTGTGAAGTATCACAATCTAGGACTTAAAGTTATATTACAAAGCTACTATGATAAAAACAGCATGGTATTGGCACAAAAACAGATGTGAAGAGGAATGGAACAGATTAGAGGATGCAGAAACAACCCCAAGTACATTCAACTATTTGAATGTACTGTTTGAAAAAGGTGCCAAAACACACACTGCAGGAAAGATAGTGTCTTTAAAAAATGGTGTTTGGAAGACTGGCTATCCACATGCAGCAGACTAAATCTAGACCCATTATCTCTCACCATATACTGAACTAAAATCAAAAAAGATCAAAGGACTAAACTTTAAGTCAGGAACCACTTGCTGGAAGACAAGATAGGTCAAACTCTTGAAGTCATAGATATAGGCAAAGACTTTTTGAACAGTACCCCAGTTGCACAGGAAATATATCCCCAGCCTGGGACCACATTACATTAAAAACCATCTGTTATGGATTAAGAGATGGTGGTCAACTTAACACCAGCTGGATTACATTAGGATAGTACTGAGCGTAGATGTTCCACCTGAGGAAATTTGCCAGCATAAACAGACACATGGAGAAGGGGAAACTATTGCGTTGAGGCACTGAGGAATTGTGGGCTCTCTTACGAGTTGCTGTTTGAGCCCTTGGTTCTCCTGGAGAAGCTCTGGTTCTTACATCGAGCACTGCTTCCTGGCTTTGGAGAGGAAGACGTGTGTTGCTTGGTCTCCAGGATGAACTTGTCATACTGGCTTCCTGGCATGTACTTGACTGTGCTTGTCTTTGGAGGAGCTCGGGGCCTCCGTGTCACTGAGGATGGCTGTGGTGCTTTTCAGGACAGCCCTGGTCTTGTGAATGTGACTTCTTGGCTCTAGCATAGAACCCTCAATCTATCAGCACAGCTCCTTCACCCCGCTGGCATAGATTTTCTGGCTTCCACTGCTGACCTTTGGGCCTTCCCAACATGGATCCGCAAAAGAGGCTGGCGTGAGTCCTTGTGGGCTCTGGACATCCAGCTGGATTCATGGGAGGCATTGTTATTGTGCCCTGGGTTTTCATCTGGACTCATTTGGGACACTGCTGTGGGATTTAGGCCCTTTACAAATTATTCTATGTCTTTGGTGTTGCAGATAGATTTCCTGCATTTTCTTGTGTTAACTCTGGGAGACTATAATAAAACAATATTATAAATTCCATATCCTGATTCTAATTGTTCTCTGCACAACTCTTAACTACAACAACATCTGTATAGCAAAAGAAACAACCAACAGAATGAAAAGACAACTTAGAGAATGGAGACAAATTTTTGCCTGAAATTCCTTGGACAGAGGATTCATATATAGAATATACAGAGTTCAAAAAATTAGATCCCCCCCAAATGATAGACCTAATGAAATAATGGGTATGTGAAATGAATAGATACTTCTCAGATGAAGCAGTAAAAATGGCTAACCAATACATGAAGAAATGCTCAACACTGCAGGCCAGTAGAGAAATAAAAAATAAAACAATACAGATTCCATCTTACCTCAGAAAGAATGGCCATCATCAAGAAATCAAACAATCACAAATGCTACAGAGGATGTGGGGGAAAAAGAACCCTTTTAACATTGTTGGTAGAAATGTAAACTAGTACAACCTCTATAGAGATCAATATGAAGATTCCTCAAAAAACTAAAAGTAGACATTCCATTTGACCCAGCTTTTCCCCTTTTAGGGTTCTTCATGAAAGAGTTAAAGCAATCTATTATAGAGATACACGCATGCTCATGTTTATAGCAGGACAATTCATAATAGCTAAATCTTGGAAGTAGCCTATATGTCCATCAACAGATCAATGGTAAAGGAAATGTCATATTTACATACAGTGGACTACTACTCTCCCATAAAGAAAGATAAATCTACAGGAAAATGGATGTATGTTGATTTCACAATGTTAAGTGAAATAAATCCAACACACAAGCTTAAATATTAGTTTCTTATATGATATACCCAGAGTAAAAAGAAAAAGCAAAATAAAACAAATAATAGGAAGTACTATAATAGATATTTTTTTCAAATGGGAAGGGGATCCAGAGATGGAGGGAGGGAAGAGGTAAGGGATACAAAATAGAATTGGGATATACCATGTACATGTATCAACTCCATACAAGGAATATAAATATTATGTACTACACACATGTACCAAAAAATCCCCAAAACAAAAGAGGAATAGGGTCAAGGAATAGTGAGAGGGTGAGGGAGGGAAGGGAAAAGAGATGATAAAAGGAATTAAGTTGTGTTATGTACATGTACCAACATCCCACAAGGAATGTAAACATTATGTACTACATACATGTATCAATAAACTGAAATAATGATTAAAAAAAGAAAAGAAAAAAAGCAGTAGAAAAAATGATGAGATAAATGTATTTTAAGCAATAGAATATTCTGAGGTTCATTAATAGCAATGCATCTTTTACTATTTTTAACTAACCACATTATTTGATCACATGTTCACACTAAAATATATCAGATAATCTATCAATTTTTATTGGAGACATTCTTGCTGGAGTCCTTGTTGCTTCTGCTTATCATACTGGCTGACTTCTTGGTCTGCTATAGTTTTTGCTAACCCCTTTGCGAATTCTTTTCTCCTCCTGTGTTGGACCTGTTTCCTTTCTTGGTCTATTCTTTTTATGGCAAAGACTTCAATTGCTTCATGAAAAAGAATGTCCATGAGGCAAAACCTTAGAGATATTCTGTTTTTGAGATATCTTTATTGAACTCTTATACTTGACTAATAGTTTGGCTATAGTCATCCCTTTGTATCTGTGAGGATTGGTTCAAGTCACCCTCTTAGATGCCTGTTGATGCTCAAGTCCCTTATATAAAATGTAGTAGTATTTGCAACCTGTGCACATCCTCACATATACTCTAACTCATCTCTAGATAACTTAAATATCTAATATAAATGCCATATGAAAAGCTGTTACACTGTACCACTTGGGGAATAATGACAAGGAAAAAAAGCTGTATATGTTTAGCACATAAATTTTTCTCTAATATTTTCAACCTCTGGATACAGGGGCTTCACTATATTGAATTTTTGCCTGAATATCATTTTATCAGAACTAATGGCATTGTTTCATTGTCACTGTTGAGTCTAACGCCATTCTGATTCTTTTATAATCATAATTTTTCCTATCACTTTTCTATTATTGTAATGTGGTTTTGGGAGAAAGCAGAGGTAAGTTGAGATTTGAGAAGACCATTTTTAAATCAGAAATTCTGTGTCGGATATTTATAGGTAAGATATGTATTTTACCTTATGGATGAAGAAATAGTTAAAAGTCTTGGACACACTCACAGAGGTAGCAACAGCAGGGGTTCAAGTCCAAGTTTGTCTGGTTCCAAAGGTTGATGACTTTTCATTATGTCTCCCTCCCTGATATGATGCTTCTAAACTAGGACATTTTTGCTTAACTCTGGAAAGAAGAGCAAAAGAAATTTTTGTGGCTGTTTTAAGCGAAATAATTGTGAAGGATCAGATTTTTCTTAATTCATTTGTATTTTATTTAATACTATTTCTCACTTTTGTAGTTAATTTTAAAATGTACCATGTTTTTTGCACAATTGGCCTTGGTTTGAGCAGCACAAATTCTATTTCATTTTTTAAATTTTTTTGAGACAGGCATGTTTGTCAGACTACATAGTTCAGGCTAGTCTTGAACTCACTATATAGTACAGGCCAGCCTTGTACTTGTGACAATCCTCCTGGTTTAGCCCCTCAAGAGCTAGGATTACAAGTCTGTGCCATCTCACATAGCTATTCCACTTTCTATGTAGATGAGAACCAAAATGTTACCAAAGACCTAGCAAATTATTGTCACAGTTGAACTGGAACTTTAGCAATTAGGATTTCTTTTTCCCTATAGGTTACCTTTTTGTCAATATTTTACTATTTCAAGTGTTCAGATAAATAGAATTGCTTAATAAACACACATATACCCAGCATCTAGACTAATTGCCAGCGTCATCTATCATATATCAACCCTGAGCTATACTTTTGTTGTAGTTATACAGAAGATTGAATCCACGACTTTCACAATGAGTGACATTTCCAGCCCCTTTTTTCTTTTGAGATAGGGTATTGCTAGTTGCCCAGGCTGGGTGTGAATTTGTGATCCTCCTGTATCTGCCTCCTAGAGTGCTGAGATTATAGGTGTGTACTACCATACCCAGTTCTGATTATACCTTTTAAGTACTTTCTACCAGATTTCCAGGATCTTCTGTATTTACTGTATTACTTTTAATCCAGAGAATGAACTGAGAAACTCTAATTTTAAAAGACTTGGAAATTAGCCAAAGATTTGAGTACCTGCTACATGCTAAGATGTGACAGAGGGAATTATAAGGTAGCATTTACAACCAGGAACAATTTACAGCAGAGTCAAGAGGATAGCAGAAAATGAATAATTTCAGAGCACCTAAATTAGAAGAGTCCAAGTATGTCTTTCTGATTTAATATATAAAATTATGAACTACTGATAAACTATTACAAAGGTATAGATTTTTTTTTTATCAGTACCAGGTATTGAACTCATTACCATGCACTTGCAAGACTGGCGCTTATGCTTCTGAGCTAAATCCCCGGCCTCAAAGGTATGGATTTTAAGTGATAAATTTACTTCTGACCCCCAGAATATTAGCAACAAAGTATTGAAATTTATTCTTTAGCTCACTGTTTCCTACTTTCTTTTTTTGTCCAATGTTTCTCTCTGGCATAGGGGTTGGTTCATAATAAAAAAGGGTCTATAGTAATAAGACAGCTTCCTACTTAAGTCCCCTACTTACTTGCTTCCTTCCCCATAAACAACCTTTTTAAGATCAGTTTCTTTCAATGTAGAGCTCATGTGTATATGAACATATTCTAAAATATAAATGGGGGCATATTATACACAGTGCTACATACTTCTTGAGTACTTCACTTTAGATCCTGCACACCGTAATGTAAATTAGTCTTCTATTCTTTTTTTTTTTTTTTTGTCTTTTTGAGGCAAAGTCTCACTATGTAGTTCAGGTTGGCCTTGAACTCACTTTGTACCCCTGATTGGCCTTGAACTCACAGCGATCCTTCTGCCTCAGCTTCTCAGTCCTGGGATGACAGTCATGCCTACCATAGACCCTTGCATCCTGCCTCTCGTGCTACCTCTTCCTTTGTACTAAGATCATAAATATTTGTTTTTTACTTGTAAAGGGAAGAATTTGAGACGATAATGTTCTTAGCAATTCATCACCAGCACATTTTGTAAAGAAAAGAACTGAGTCAGATGCAGTTACTCATGTTTGTAATGTAACCAGCTGGGAGCCTAAAGCAAAAGTATCACAAGTTTGAGGCAAGGCCAGTCTCATAGTGAGACCTTGTCTCAAAACACAAAATATATATAAAAAAAATTAAAACAATTTTACCTAAAAGTTAAGAACAAGAGCTGCCTGAAATCATTTTTGAAACTAGATTTTGCTGGAAATAACTAGGGATGGGAGGTCTGTAAGATAAGGCAGTCTTCATTTTGAAGGGCAGATCACCCTGACTTGTTAAGTGAATGTATACTCGGATTGTAGTCCCCAATTAAATGTACAAATTTCCATCAGAACATGCTAAGTTTTTAACAGATTTGAATACGTATTCTTTCACTCACTTTCACTTTGCTTTACTATGAGTCTCATGCTGATTCCAAATAAAAGCAAGTAATTGTCTGATATATAATCAATTCATTCATTAAGTATATCTTACTGCTTTTTGGCCTTCAGAATTTCTGCACTTTATTCACCTTCCTTGAAAGTCTATCAGAAATGAAAGATCACTGATAAACTTAACTGTTTATTAAGTACCTTGGAACAAATGCATTAATAATAATTCCTTGTAGTCATATAGCATTTTATAATTTTGAAAGAACTTTCACATATATGAATAAACCTTCACATTTCTGTGAGGTAGGTAGGGTAGGCATTATTTTTCTATTACTAGTAAGGAGAATGAGTTTTAGGGGTGAAATAAGGTCATGCAGTTGGTAAATAATGAAGCCAGGACTAGAATCTAGGCCTTCTGACATGCTGCCTCCCTGAGAACATTCAAGTAAAGATAATCTATGCTATACAATGAACATTTCTCTTCTATGATGTTACTCAGATTTGTTTTTAAGTTTTTATATCATCTTTCCCTCACATCTTTAAACATTCAAACTGTGATGAGACATTTATTCCCTGTTATTTGACTATTTCTCAGATTTCAAACGTCATCCTAAGATGAAACTTATCTCTAAGTTTTGAGGATCCTTGGTTACATATTCTAACTCATGATATGAAGATTTACTTCAGAAAATTCTGCATTATTATTCCTATGGTAGACATGTCAAACTTACCTAAACTAAATAAAACTGGTCTGTTTATATTCTCAAAGCTTTCCAATTTATCAGTAAGACTTTTGGATGTGGAAATACAGGAAGGTATTTAGCAACATTACTGAGAAAGTTATGAAGAGTGCACCTAAATGAAATTCACATGACAGTAATTTTGTTTTCCTCGTTGGCCTTACAGAGGAAAAAAAATTGTTAAGAATCTGCTTTCAGGTTTGATCCTAAATGTGTGTGATAAATTCATCAACAAGTTAGAAAAATGAACTGAATTATAACAGTAAGAGGGATTAGGCAGCAATGACTAAAGCATATATGCATTGGTAGGAAGAAAATATCTGTTCTTCAGTGATTCTGCTAGGTCCAGTGTAAACTACTCAAGGCAGATTTGAAGATATAGCATCTCTATTAAATTAAAAAGTATGAAATATGGTAGAGTTATCAACTTGGAATATAAGTGAGTATAACTGACCCAAAGCTACATGTCAGAAGCATAGTAAAGTTCAACAGGCATGAAAGGGAAGGGATAAAACCCAGTTACTACTTTTGTATGGAGTGAAAAACAAAGAACAAACACAAACATTCAGGTTCAAGTGACCAAAACATCAGAAAATGTAAAAATATGAAAATGTTACTGAGCTGAATTATCAGGAATGGTATTTTAAAAGTTCCAGTTGCAACCTTTTAAATTTAAGGGAAATGGGAAGAAACTTAAGCCTAAGAGCGACTGGTACAGAAAACAAATGGGGACTAGAAAAGGAGTTAGGGTGAGAAATCAAGGAAGACCAAGGAATTCAAAATACATTCCAAATGGATTTAGAACCTCCCTAAATCTATCCTTTCCAAAAAAACGTTTCCTAAATTAAGACATTTGGTCAAAACAGTTAGTGACAATGAAAGTGGTAATTGTTCCTTATAAAAGGAAAGAACTTATTTAGATGTAGTTTAGAAATTAATGATTAATTTACTGACTAAGCTGTAGAAACTGAAACTTAAGCACTGCTGTCAGTGATAAATGGCAGAAAACTGCTTTCAAAAATAGAACTGCCATGGTAGCACTCCACATTAATAAAACTACTGAGAAATAAATTTTTAACTTTTGTACTTGAAGCCTTATGATAAAACACTTATATTCTTATTAAAGAAATCAGTTTCAACTAATGTGAAAAAATATTAAAACTATATTTAAGTTTTTTAAGATAAAAACAAGATCTAGAATGCTATATTCTGGTATGCAGGATCAAAATCAAGTATACTTTTTAAATGCATCTAGACTAGCCTGGACTACATTTCTTACATAGTATCATTGTCATCATCATCTTCATGTTTTCTCTTCAGTGGGTTTGATTCACTGGTTGTGTTCTGTGTTGAAACCATGTTGGTGGTAATAAGAATGTTTTTGGATCCAATCATTGAAGGATTAATCAAAACATTTTGAACTGCAGTTGTTGCAGGAACTGTAAACAGAGAAGAAAATCTCCATAAACTTGAATTACCCAGAATCTAAAACATGGTTAAAAGTAAACAACAAAGCTGGGTGTAGTTCTAATAAAAATTTCAATGCAATGGTGTGCAACTACATCATAAACAAATATATCATCAACTACACTGCATGTTGCAGTGGATTGTTTATATCACTGAAAACTCCAAAAGGTTTGCCATCACTGTCATAGAAGAAATATTGGTAATTATACATTAAGTGTTTTAATTAAATTTTTAGGATATTTATGTTATTGGAAATTAATAATTGTCAGTTACATGGTATAATGTCATTTGATCTACTATTTATGGGATTAAATCTACTTTAGTATACCTAAAGCAAAGACAGAGAGGTTTTGTTATATTTCAACTACTTGAAATTTCAATTGTTAGTATTTATTGCACTGGATTCATCATGGAACATACTAAATGCACATGTTTAAGGCCAGGAATCATGTTTCCTGTATAGGCCAATATTTCTTAAGTTGTTGATTATATGCAGTTGAGTTTTACAAGATGTAAACACATGCATTAGTAAACTATGCTATACCAGAATTTTATTTAGTATTATTCCAACTATATGTATATATATTTTATAGCTATGTATCCTTCTATGAAGTGAATAAAGATATACTTTTCAATTGAATTTACATTTACACTCCGGATTATACATACATATTTGTCATGAAGTTTTATGATTTTCTTGAGCTTTTACCTTGTGCTTTTCCCTGAAGATGCCATATATTTGAGAACCTTAACAGTTTTTATTTCATAGCACTGTTTGAAAATTTGATGATCACATTGAATATTCTCTCCTCTCCATGAAAATGTTACATATATGTAAAACTTCATACAATTTTAGAAGACTGATTTACAGCATGACTGCCACCTTCCTAGTGTAATATTAAAACAATTTAACCTTGTTGATAAGAACACAAATTATTCTATAATTGCAAATTACTCACAAATTCTGCTCCCCCTCATCAACATGTTACCTGGTTTGACAGGTGTGGACTGGGAAGATGGAATCTGCACCGTAAATCTTTGGCTTGTCACTGACACTGGAGTTGCAACTTTATTTGGGACGGACACTGTTTGAGGGGCTGCTGTAGTTAAAATCAACAGACCATGTTAGATGATATTATCTAAATTTATATGCTGTACTCCTTAGCAGAAATTACCTTTAAAACACAGGAAACTAAGGGAAGGTGACAAAGCATCATTAAAAATAAGAGCAAAATGATTTTTCAAAAGTTTACAAACTTATTTAGATGCTACAAAACTGGTCTACAGGTGTGGCTCAGTGGGAAAGCAGTTGTCTAGCATGTCTGAGTTCCTGGGCTCCATCTCTAGCACTGCAAAACAAAGGAACAAAAACTCCAATATTCAGTATAGTGTGGTAAACAGTGTAAGCTCTGGAGCCTACCTTGCTTGAGTTTGAATCCAGGCTTTATTACCTATTAGCTGGGTATCTTGGGAAACTATTTAATCTATTTGCACCTCAGTTTTCTCATCTGTGACATGGAGACAACAGTATCCATTTCATAAAATTCTTGTTAGAATTAAGTAAAAATAACCTATATAAAGCTCTTCAAACAGCATCTAGTACAGGAGTTTAACACATTCCTATAGGCCTGAACCACTGGTGGTACATACATGACTGTCCCATTAGGCAGCAAGCATTTCTATTAGTCTTTTACTAATATAATTAATAAAAAGTCTACAAAAAGACTAAATCTAGCTAGTTGCTTGGATCTGAATAATTACTACCAAAATATCAATACTAATTAATACTACTCATATGAATTAAGAATTATTACAATAATCAACAGATTTATTTCATTTTATTAAAATAAATTTATTTATATTTATGAATAGTTTATCAATAATTAATTCCCTAAATTTTTATTTTTTTTTGTGATACAGTCTTGATATGCAGTCTAGGCTGGCCTTGAACTCTCAACAATCTTCCTGCCTCAGCCTCTAGAGTGATGGGATTATCGGTGCACATCACCACATCTGGCTTAATTGCCTAAATTTTAACGTGGAAATTTTACAAGTACCCCATTGCTGGTGTATATAATAGGCATTTATAAGTGCTATATCACAAATAAACTATATTACAATTTTTATACCATCTTAATGTTTTTCTTAAGGAACTAGTCTGTTGAATCAACACTTTTCTTTGCATTACTGTAATCAAAGACCTTGTAAGAAACAGTATAAGCCACTTGATGGGACAGTCATGTGTATACCACCAGAGGTTTAAGTTGGCAGGAACAGTCCAATCAAAGCTGTCCCAGCAGAGACACATACGAATTATGGCTTCATCAAGAACACATTAAATAAACTAATAAAGACTCTAGACTCTTGGATGTCATTTTAAATGTTGGTTATTTGCTGAGAATTAGAGTATGTCTACTATGCCTGTGAATCTAAATCAACGCTCACTTAACAAAACAGAAGCCACTCAAATAGACTTGCCATTCCCCGGGTGAGCACAAGAAATGTACTCCTTTTCTATGTTCAGATACTTTTTAAGCAGAAACGTATCTTGGAGATAACCTAGTCCAAAACCCTCATCTAAATCCTATTCCTTATTTTTGTGGTACAGGGTATCAAATCCAGAGCCTTGTACATGGTAGGTATGTGCCCTACCAACAAACTGTACCCCTAACTTCTACTCCTTATTTTAAGGCACATCTCAAATAATCACCCTATTTTATAACACTTTCCTTGATTTGCTCAGTTAGAAATCTCATTTCCTGCCTCTGAAATTCCTTTAACATATCATAGGAGTCTTATTAGTATCCTATCTCACTCACTAGCTTATAAGCCTTGGCTAATGTTTTTCATCCTTGTGAGCACAGGCTCTTGTGTTTTATTCCTAGCAGGCCCTTAAACATGCTTGTGTAATGAATGAGTTTTGTTTGTAAGATTTAATATACATACTGTCACTGTCCTTTCAAAAATATTTATAGAAATGTGTCTAAGTTTTCTTTTGGGCATGTAGGCTTTCCATACATATATTCCTTCCCCCTGGAACTAGTCGTCCACACAGGGACAGCATTGCTAAAGACAGTTTAACTTGCATCATCTTTAAAGATAGAGGGGAAAGAAAGCATGGGAACCAAGATTTCTCTATTCTTTTGGGCTTTATTCCTCAAATCCAGAAGGTGGTACCTTACTCTAATATATCTCCACCCCTAAGCAAGTTTTCTCATATATTAAGGAGTAGTCTAAAGAATTTAGTGAAGCTTAATGAGGCAATGTAAGTATTTTATTTTGTCAAGAAAACGAAATTCTACAGTAAGCAGATATTTTCTTGATCATTACCTTAATAAATTGTTAAAACATTTAAACAGACGTGGAGTTAAGGTCTTAAAATTGAACAGAGTAGATGTTCAGGTCTCAAAGTATATAAAATTAATTTTTTAGTTTTTAAGGTTAAATTTTACATCTTTAATAGTTTTTGGAAGCACGTTCACTTTAGATATTAAAAATTTCTAAAGCATATAAAATGACTAGGAATAAAAATCACAACTGATAACTGAAATTTGTTAATTTGCCTAAAACATGCAACAGATTAGGGCAGTAGTAGTGAACCTATGCCTCATGTGCCACAGTTTGTTATCATTAAAATCTCTAAAACGTTCACCACCACTGCACTATGATTTAAAAACTGATAATGTCAAGTGTGCTAGTACAAGGCTACAGCTAAGTTATTTGGATAGCAGGAGCAGGAGAAATGCTTGATCCCAGGAGTTTGAGACTAGCCTGAGCAACATAGTGAAGCCTCATTCTCAAAAAAAAGTTTTTTTAGTACTCAATATGAATCCACAGACAAGTGGTATATGATAAAAAATTAGATCATATATGCAAATTTCCATTCACAAAGATCACATGTTGGTAATTAAATATGTGTATCTGATTTTATATGAAACTGATTTTATGTTTTTTTTTTTTTTATTTTTGTGGTACTAGGGATTGAATCCAGAGTCTTGCATAGGGTAGGCAGGGCCTTTCTACAGCTGAGCTACATCTCCAGCCCTTTTAAAATTTTATTTTGAAAAAATGAGGCGTGGTGGCTCACGCCTGTAATCCCAGCATGAAGGAGGCTGAGGCAGGAGGATCATTGTGAGTTTAGAGACCAGCCTGGGCTACAAAGTGAGCTCATGACCTGCCCAAACTGCACAGAGAGACCCTGTCTCAAAAAGACAAAAAAAATTTGTATTTTGAGACTGGGTCTTACTACTTTGCCTGGACTGGCCTCATACTTGTGATCTTTTTATTTAGCCTATAGCTGGTACTATAGGCATGCAACACCACACCTGGCTCTAGGACAGGTTTAAAGTGCTGAAATGTAACTTATATCCTGAGAACAAGTAAATGTAGTTCACACCTCAAAAGTCAAATGCTGCTTATATTAGTGATATAAGATAGCTATAGGACTCAAGTTATAAGTAGTAAGATTTATAAAACGTGAGTGAAAGAGAAGGGGCTTTTCTTCTGAAAGTACTTTGATTACTTTTTTCAAGAAACCCAGCAAGAACAAATGAAAACAATCAAGAAATCTCATTACATTTTTTGTATCCAAACAATGACATTAACAAATAATGACTTTTCTTTTCTTTTTTTTTCAGTACTGGGGATGGAACCCAGTACCTTCACACTGAGGTACATTCCTAGACCTTTTTTTTTATTTTGAGATAGGATCTTCTCATCAAGTTGCCTAGGCTGGGCTCAGACTTGCAATCCTCCTGCTTTACCCTTCTGTGGTGCTGTAATTATAGACATGTGCCACCCTGCCTGGCTTTAGTAATGGTTTCTGAACCCCATTCTTCACTAAAAGGAACCAGGGCTCTTGAGGAAGTGATTAGTTGCAAGATTAGGGCAGGAAAACACGGTATTAGATGAGTTTGGAACATCTTGTGTTAGAAAGTAAGAAATGTTTAAACTATAATGGAGATTATCAAAATGGATATAGGATTTCCCTGACCAAAACAGGAAAATTAATACTATTTCTTTTGAGATGGTTTCTCCCTAAGTTTAGTCTCTTACTGTTTAAAAATGGTTATTAATGAAAAGAAGTAATTATACTTTTAAGTTCTTAAGCTTTTTGCATTTTGTCCTTTTAAAAACTTCCCATTTTTACAGAAATTTCTAGTAAGAAGGCTGCTGTCTTAAATGTGTTTGGCAACTGCACCTGTATAAAAGACGGAACCAATATGGCACTGGGTAAACTCATTTCTGGTATCATAGTTAATACCAATGATGATGTGGGCAATGTCCAATTTTATACTCATTTGGTATCAGATTCTCTTTGTAGCTTTCTCATTTTGAAATCCAGGTACAATGTACAGTTTTACTAGAGGATGACATACAAGAATTTCTGACTCACTTTTGACTTGAATTACAGTTCAAAACCAAGTGTCAAGGTACCTCTTTATCACCAGAAATGCCATTTCTCACTTTTACTTACCTATAGTAGGAGTGGTAGGTCTGCTACTAACAGCACCAACACTTAATCGTGGAACTAGTCTTCCTTGATTAGGTCCCTAAGGGATTTAAAAGCAAAGTTAGCTTTATTGTTAAGATTTGACATTTCAATTTACAGTGAAATTATTGTCATGAATGTTGAGAACACCTCATTTTTGTTCTTTCAATGTTCTCAAACTAGTATTTAAAATTGATTTCACAAACATATATGTATGTAATCTATATAAAATTAGATATGAATCCATCTAACTGTATATTTAAATTAAAATCTTACCTGAATGAGGATAAGAGCTAACTTGCTTGTGATTTTTAATCTTCACTAATCAACATCTTAACCCAAAAAGAAAATTCTCAGCATAGAATTTCAGAAAACAAAGGCAGTCTAGTATAAGGAGAATTCTTTTCAGTGGTAAGAGAGCCTTAGGTCATATTTAGGAAAGCTCAACTTCTAATGGTATATCATTTTTTCTATTATCAGATCTCACTAAAATCTATGACACTGTGGAAATACTGGGAGTTAAGAGACCTGTGAATCAGGCCTAGCTTTGCCATTCACTCCATAATGTATACTAGGTTAAATGGACACTTCTTTCTCCTCTAAAAATTTTTAAAATTGTTAAGCTTTGATCTCCTGCACTATTTACAGGAATTTGTTCTTTATAAATTTCCCTATTATAGCTATTATTTTTTAAAAGCAAAGTTGACCAAAGATCTTACCTTTTTAATTAAGGACTTCAGCCTATAGTTTGGAGCTGTTAAGCAGTACCTGTCAGGTGGTAGTCTAGGTCCTGCATATGGCTTAATCAGTGGCAAAGGTGTTTGATTTTTCTGTCTTGCAATATCCAGTAAAAACTAAGAGAACAAGAAATGTTCATTAGAGCTACAACTTAAAAAAAATTGCTAGTAAAAATAACTTCAAATAAATGTTTGCTCACATCTCTTGGGGGAGGAGAGGTAAAAGACTGGTCAGCACGACACTGGATTGCCAGTCTGACATCATCTGCATCAACATTAGGTTTCTTAGCATGGCTTGAATAAATTTTTGCATCATCAAGAATTGTAGTCACATATCCTTTAAGAACAAAACAATTTTTTCTTAAACAGCTTATGAAGACAGCTTAATATTTAGAGGTCACTTTAATAAAAAGTTCCACTAATTGCAGGAAAGTTTATGAATTTTGGTTTTAATGGCTAACATTAAACAGTTGTAGTGTTGTAGTCACACATCCTTTAAGAACAAAACAATTTTTTCTTAAACAGCTCATGAAGACAGCTTAATATTTATGGCCACTTTAATTAAAGGTTCCACTAATTCCAGGAAAGTTTATGAATTTTGGTTTTAATGGCTAACTGTCCTCTTCATATCATACATTTTAAACAGCTGTAGTAGTACATTTGTAAATACTACTGTCCCATAATGCAAGCTCTTTTTAGTGCTTTAGTCATTTCTATATTAATAACATAATTTGGTTGAAAATGTTTACAATAAAGTGATCTTTTCTAATTGACAAGTTTTTGTTTTCTTAACTTACGGAAAGCAAATTCCAACATTTGATTTATAACCCTTGGTTCATACTCCGTGATTCCCATATCCTTCAGGATCTGTGCCATCACCTGTGGATTCAAATAAAAACGCCAGATGCATAACCTAGGTATTGGATATCAGACTGGTCTGAAGATAGTATTTATGATACAAGGTTCCACTTCTCTGGGCTCCAAACTCCTGCCCGTCCTTGTCTTCCCAAGTGAGTAGCAATGATCACACCAACGAGTTACATGCTCTCATTCAAAACTATTTATTTATTTATTTACGTATTTATTTATTTATTTGCAGAGGTTGGCTCTCCCAATAGAGGTAAAGTTGGCTTCAACTGGTTGTCATTTTCGGATGTGGCCGCAGGGGAAGTTAGCATCAGAAGCTCAGGCCCGGAGAGTGAAGGATCACCGATAGGGCAAGACCACAATGCGGAAGCCGGAGGCCCAGGAGACAAAGCGGGGCGCCAGGCCTGCGCACTGTAAACGCCTAGAGTCTAGAGAGGCTCAGCTGAGCGGCAGGAAAGTACCCCTGGGGCTAAGGAGAACCCGCATGACCTCCACGGACTGGCCCGGCGGGTTCGCTCCTGTGCACAAGTCCACACTCAGGGCCTCTTCGCGTCCTGACTCGCAGGTTCCTTGCTGTCCTAGGCTTTACTCCGTCTCTCATCCTTCGCACTTACCAATGCATCTCTGGGAGCATTCTTGGAAGGCGCCATCTTGCCCGGCTCCATGTTACACAGCCTCTTGTCATCAGGCGAGACAGAGCAGCGCACTGACTCCTAGCTGAGGCTCCACCTCTATGGGGGCGGGAGGCGGGGTTACCGGGTTGGCTGACACTTCACAGCTGTTTCGCAGCTCTGGTGGGTGTGGTCTCCTAGGAACTCAATTCTCTGAGTATCTGGCGTCCAGTGTAAGACAGGGTGGGGGCTATTGAGGAGGACTGGAAGAGGCGTGTAAGCCTTCCTTTGGGGGTTGTGCGGAGGGCTAAGTGATGAAGATTGGAGGAGCTTGTCTTAACAAAATTATTCTCCAGTAAGATACACAGAAAGGGCCACCTTCATCTTGCTTGGGGTGCCTCCTCAAACCCTCTGCTACCACACTGGCCCCGTCCGGCTCTGTGGAATTCTGCAGGACCCCTGCCTCCCTCCAAGTTAGGATTGCCAGGTCAAACACGTAACACCCAGGTACACCTGAAAGTCACATCAAAAAGAAATACATTTTTGTATAAGTGTATCCCAAATACTGCATGGACTATTCCAGTACTTACACTACAAAATTATTTGCTGTTGATATTGAGATTTAACTGAGCACCCTAGATTTTTATTTGATAAATCTGACAACCCTACCTAATAGTTCTACAGACTTTGGTCAGTGGGACTTAGGTCAGCTCCTGTAATATTTTACATCTTGCCATGGCTGCCTGTTTTATACTGACAGACAACCAAACCTTTAATTGCCTTCAAGTTTCCATTGAAGTTCCCCCTGCTTTGTCTCTTAGTCTGTGCAGGTCTGTTCTCACTGCGATCCGCATAGGGCCCTTTCTTGCCTTTCAGACTGCTCCTGGCACATTTCTCCAAAGAATAGCCTAAGTAAATTTCTTGGGACCCATGCATTCAGCTTGAGTTACATTTTTTATAGAAGCATCAGTTCACCGTTTCTGGCTTAAAATGTCCCTGAGAATTCTGCTTTATATCTTCATCCACGAACACCCATGCATCAGTCCATCTCAGGAAAATGCACCATGACTCATCTAAGTAGGCAGCCACACTTCCACTTTCCCTCACAATCCTCAAGTAATATAGTGATGAATCTGGTGAGGATGTTCTCCCTGTTACAGGATATCTGTCTGTATCTGTATCTCCACCCAGTGCTACAGTGGAATGAAGTTGAAGCCAACAGCTGTTTTCACCAAGATTATAGAAATTTGGTCCCCAAAATAGGGCCATCCCAGATTCCTCACTTAACAAGAGGCATCATTTAGGTTTTTTTTTTTTTAAAGTTAATTTTATTTCTATATGCTTGCAGTAATAATTATTACGTAGTGGGGAGTTGGCACAAGTACATATTATCTTTTTTTTTTAAGTACATATTATCTTAATTTAAAAGTCCCTTTTATCTCTTCTTTCTTCTCCCTCCATCTCTACTGTCCCCATACAATTTGCAAAAGATCTTTCTGTTTCCTAATTATGTTTTATTTTGCTCTTTATTTAATCTTTGAGTTTCTTATATAAGAGAAACTGTGATATTTAAGCTAGCATATGCAATTTATTTCACTTAACCTTATAGTTTCATGCATTTTCTTACAAATGACGCATTTATCCTTCAGGCAGAGTAGTATTCCACTGTGTAAAAACACTCCATTCTCTTTATCCATTCATCTAGTGCTACATAATGTATACTAGGTTAAATGGACACTTCTTTCTCCTCTAAAATTTTTTAAAATTGTTAAGCTTTGATCGATGGACATATAGTTTGCTTCCTAGATTTAGCTGTTACAAATTGTGCTGCCATAAACATAAATATGCATGTATCACTGTAATATGTCGTTAACTCTTTTAGAAAGATAAGCAGAAGGGAAATAGCTGGGTGAAATGGAATTTGAGGCATATCCATATTACTTTCCACACTGGTTTACATTTCCACCAAAAATGTAGAAGTGTTTCTATTCCCTTGCAGCCTCTCCAGCATTTGTTATTATTTGATTTCTTGATGATAGCCACTTTTTCAGGAGTCAGATAAAATCTCAGTGTTGTTTTCATTTGAATTTCTCTAGTGGGCAGAGATGTTTATCATTTTTCATGTATTTGACTTGCATTGACATTTCCTCTGGGAGGTGTCTATTCATTTTTGTTGTCCATTTTTTGATTGGATCTTTTGTTTTGGCAAAGTCTATTTTCTAAGAGTTGTTTTATATATTGTAGATATTAGTTCTCAGGCACAGGAGTAATTGGAAATTTTTTCTCCACTCTATATGTTGTGTTTTCAGTCTGTAGATTGTTTCCTTTACTGTACAGAAGCTTTTAAATTTGATACATACAATTTGTTGATTTTTTGTACTATTCAATGTACTACTGGGGTTCTGTTCAGAAAGTCTTTACCTATGGATATGTCTTCAACAGTTTAACTGATTTTACCTTCCAGCAGATTGTTTCTGTATTTATTTATTTACTTTTGAGACAGGGTCTTGCTGTTTAATTCAGGCTGGCCTTGAACTCACTGTGTAGCCCAGATTTACCTTGAATTCACAGAGATCCTCCTCCTTCAGTCTCCTGAGTGCTGAGAAACCAGGAGTGAGCCATCACAACTGACTGAATTATTTCTGTTTTAATATTTAGATCTTGTTCCATTTTTATTTTAGTTTACTACATGGTGAAAGTTATAGGTGTAGCTTCAGTCTTCTGCATGTAGATAGCCAGTTTTCCCAACACTGTTTTTTAAGGGGCAGTATGTCTTCAAAGGTATATTTTTGGCTCCTCTGTCAAAGCTCAGACATCTGAATGTATGTGAGGATGTTTGCATATCCTACACGTATTTCCATTGATTCACATGTCTGTTTTTGTGCCTGTACCATGCTGTTTTTTTTTTTTTTAATCACTTTACCTTTATACTACAACTTGACGTTTGGGTTGTGATGTTTTCTGCTTTTCTCTTGTTGTCCATAATTGCTTTTACTATTTTGGGTCTTTTGATTCCTTTTGAATTTTAGGATTTTGTTTTCTAGTTCTGTGGGGAATGCTGTTGGTATTTTTACTGAATTGTATTAAAGTATATATATATCAATTTTGAAAGAATAGCCATTTTAAAGATTCTGGTTGTGCCTATCCAGGAAAAAGAATATCTTTCCATTTTACGATATCCTCTCTGATCTTCTTTTTCAGCATATTGTAGTTTTCATTATAGAGGGGTCTTCATTTCCATCGTTAAGTTGATGCCTAAGTATTTTTTAATTGAAGCTATTGCGAATGTTTTTTTCCTAATTTCTTTCTTAGTGGGTTCATTATGGTGTATGAGAATGCTATATATTTTTGTGTGTTGATTTATATCTTGCTTTATTGCTGTGCTTATTAGTTTTGGTGGAATATTTTGGGTCTTCTGTGTAAACGACTGTGTCATCTAGTTTGAAATCTTCCTTTCCTATATGTATTCATTTTATTTCTCTCTCTTGCTTGATCAGGCTAATGTTTTGAGTATTATACTGAGTGATTATGATTGACATCTTTGTCTTATTCCTGCTCTGAGTGGGGAAACTTTCATCTTTTCCCTATTTAATATGATATTGGAAATATTTTTGTCAAAGTAGCTTTTGTCAGGTTGAAATAAAGTTCTTCCCTACTTATTAATTTAGGGTTAATTTTTTCATGAGCAGATGTTGAATTTTCTCAGAGGCATTTTTGGTGTGTATTGAGATGATCCTGTGATTTTTGTTCTTATTTCTCTTTATGTGATATATTTATTGCTTTGCATATCTTGTAGCATTCTTGCATACTTGGGATGAAATACTTGGTCATGAAGTGTACAATCTTTTAAATTATTTGTTGCATTCTGTGTGCTAGTATCTTGTTGCAAATGTTTAAATCCAAGTTCATTAAAGAGATTGGCCTGACCTTTTCTTTTTCCTTGCGTCCTTGTCTGGTTTTAGAAGAAAGGTGATGTTAATTTCTAGAAATGAGTTTTGGAGCACTCCTTCCATTTTAGTTGAGAAATATTGTCATTAGACCTTCACTAAAGTGTAGAATTCAGTAGTTCACCTATCAGGTCCTGGGCTTTTCTTAGGAGGTAAGTTTTTTAGTACTGCCTCAATTGTATTGCCGGTTATGGAATGTTGAGGTTTTCAAAAATATCTTCTTGGTTTGGTTTTGGTTATTCATATATATTTGAGAATCTACTTCTAGATTTTCCTTTTTTTTTTGTTGTTTTTATTTTTGAGGCAGAGTCTCACTCTGTAGGGCAGGCTGGTTTTGAACTCACTTATGTAGCCTAGGATGGCTTTGAAATCACGATGATCCTCCTGCCTCAGCTTCCCAAGTGCTGGGATTACAGGCATGTACCACCACACCTAGAAGTTTCCGATTTCTTGGAAACACATTTCCAGAGTAGTTACTAATAGTATAGATTTCAGCAATATCCATTGACATTTAAAATTTTTCATTTCTAGTTGCATTGATATTGATCTTTTCTTTCCTTGTTTTGGTAAGATTGTCTAAGGGTTTGTTTATTCTTTTGAAGAGCCAGCTCTTCAATTCATTGATTCTTTGTATTCTATTTTTGGTTTCAATTTCATTAATTTTACTTCTGTTAATTTTAATTTTCTTCATTGTACTAGCTTTGGATTTAGGTTCTTGTTTTTATAGGATCTTGAGGTTCATGATTCACTTACAAGTTCATGAATTTAATTTGGTTCATAATTCTGGTCATGAACTGAATTGGTCAGGAACCAAGTTAAATTTCCCCCCTAAGGTTGAACGTAAGTAAGGTTAATATTTTCTAAGCCATATGCCTATTTTAATCACAGAAATATGAAATAATGTACAGTGCAGTACATTATGAAGAGAAGGAACACTAACCTAGTTTGAGGTGATTTCTGGCATGGAGGACAGGAATGTGGGTAGGGAGGAGGTTATTGTTCAGTGGTAGAGTCCTTCTCCATAAGAACATCAGGGAGATCTCCTTCAGAGATTTATTATTTTATTAAATGATAAACATGACCAGGCTTCCCCAGGCTGCAGGGTCAATTTTGATGAAAAACCTGTCTAAAGTCAGTTTTTTCCTGCATTGCATAACCCTCTGGAAATGAGATCATGTTATTGTTCATCAGATTCAACACTG